CTCATAGCTCCATTTGAGTCTCTCACTCTATCCATCAAACTTTTTCCCACATTTAAATCGAAAATAGCAAAATTAAATCCCAATAATAATAATTGCATTTACAGTATACATCTGTTAGAGCTTAGAAAGCCTAAAAAGTACAGTTGAAGCGTAACTGAATATTTAGCTGCCTGGGGAAAGCCTCCATAGCTGGCCAATTTGAATGGTTAATGAAAGGTATATAACAGTGTCTGTAGGCATAGTGATAAGTTAGCTTGCTTTTCACCTTTTCACCACCAGTTCCCTCATTTCATCACAAAATAATTCTATATATAGTCTGCACTTTCCTGCAGAAGATTGGGACAAATATTAGCCGAATTTTTTAATAAAAACTGAAAATTAGAGTTTATTATCAGAAATATTGAGGAATATAAAAAAAGTGCAGAAAAATTAGGGCGAGAAAGTCTGGTGGTGAAACGGTTAAACCACTTTTTAACCAGATGTTTCTATGTATTGAGATTTGTATTTCTCTGTGTTATTTTTTACTGCTACAGAATTCATGATTGCATGTCACAAAATTTAAAGCGATTTACAGTATCAGAATCAACATAAAATATATATTTTCCATTTCTACTTTTTCAATCTGCAGAAAGTGACGCTATTGGTAACTGTGGTGGATTACGATCGTATGGGCAGTAGTGAGCCAATCGGTAAAGTTGTACTTGGATGCAATGCGTCTGGTGCGGGACTAAGACACTGGAGCGACATGTTAGCATCGCCACGACGACCAATTGCACAATGGCACACACTTGTAGAACCAGACGCATAAAACAAGATGGCTGCCAACATAATGAAAAAAACTAGTTGCTAGGCGACCTGTACTTACTAAATCTAATTTAATATATTTATTATTGTTTTATTCTGGCTTAATTACTACTTCAGCTGATAAAACAAAAATAAATTAAACAAAATATTTATTGAGGAGAACGTAAAAAGCATGTTACTGAAATCAGCAGAAATGTTGATTTACGATTTTATGATAAAAAAAAAATTAATATCAATAAACTGTGTATTGTTTTTAACTTTGGTTAATGTCAGAAAGAAATATATATATAGTTCTTAGTTCTGTAATCTTGCAAATCATGATACCATGGTTACCAGACAATTTTAACTTAATGTTTTTGTAGAGTAATAATACTAATACATGAAGGCAGTGTTTTTTTTTGTTGGCAGGAAATAGGGATCATGTACAGTTTTTCCCAAGTTGTCTTCACAGGTTTTTAGGTCTAAAATGAAATGCGAGGTAACTGCTATGTATTCTGGGAAATATGGTGGACAGTTGATTGATTATGAGAAGTGTTGTAGGGGTCATAGGTCAGAGTAATGTAAATTTGCCTGTCATGTGATTTCTTCTTCTTATTATGGCATTTTGAATTTATGATCTATTTCTTATCAAAACAGTGCCACTATTGACTGTCATTTTTTCAAATGATGCCAAAATGAGTTTTTACTGACTTTTTTTTTTCTTAACTTGTCCACAACGTGTGCTAAATTCAGCCATTTTCAGCCTGCACCCCTATAAGCAAAGTGAAAATGTCTAGTCCACTTAGTGACAGGGTGCCCCATAATTAATGAGGGTGATGTACATGATCCACAACAATGAAAAAACACTGCCTGAGGCTACAAAAAAAATGTTTCTGGCTTGCATAATTTTTCAAAATAAATAATATATTCATTTTAATTATTTAATCCACTGATTTTAGTTATTATTGTAAGCAGAAACATTTTTTGTTTTGTTTTAGCCAATTTGTATCAAGCTTATCACCCCCTAGTACTTAGTATCAAAATCTTATTCCTTGTATTAACTAGTCGATATTAATACAAACCATGTAAAGAATGATACCAATGGTTATCTCAGGTGTGTTTGTTTGTTTTTGGTTCCTCCAGTATTAGCATATTTATTTTTTACCCCAAACAGCCTATAGCAATCATGGAGTTAAATTTGCTTTTATTTAAAAAAAAAATAAAACAATTAGTCAGCCTTGTAGACTTTGCAGATGAGCTTATAAATCTGTGTTATGTGAACCAATCAAAACTTTAGTGCAATATTTTGCTGGTCATTATTCATGCATGTGCAACTTGATGCCCTTAAAGAGGTTATAGGTCAATAATATTGGTCACTGACTTCTCTGATCATTATCTGTATAAAGCACAAGCTCAGAGCATAGGGAAGATAAGGTTGCAATGACCTGTGGCCTAATTAGAGGTCAAGTCTTGTGATCATTTGGGGTTAGAGGTCACGATGTCATGTGACTTGGGTTAGAGGTCAAGCTGTCATGTGACCATGTGGGGTTAAAGGTCAAGCTGCTCATCAATCATTTACTTTTATCGTCATGTTCCGTCTGTGGAGAACAAAAATAATGGAAATAGTTTTATCTGGTTTGAGTGAGCAAGTATGCGCAGATAATTTTAATCTATATATTCATTTATCTGTATTTATCTTAATTACTATTATTTACATGTTGATAGAGAAAGTTATTTTACCCTTACTGTGAAGTTTATGGTGATTGTCTGTTCACCATCTGTCAAATTTCTAAACTTTTCACCCATATTAAATATGATTAAGTGACCTACCTATAACAGACAAGTTTAGTGAAAAAAAAAATGTTGGAATTTCATGAATCTGATTGTAATGGGGTAGAGAGTTATTGATTGGGGGGTGAGAACTGTGATCGGCATGTGAAGCTCACTCACCTCGTACACTGCATGTTAGTTTTTGTGATGTTTGATATGGAGAGATTGCTGTGTTAAGCAGTTGTCAAGTGAAATTCCTTATATGGGCATAGAAGGAAACAATTCATTGTCTTTTTAGCTTTAACTGTGCCATCTATACATTGTTTACATTTATTGTATGTGCTGTGTGTATATAGAAAGAGAAATTATTATACATAATAAGAATTTAAACACTTGCAGATAAACTGGATGTTTTATTTTTTGAGTATGAAGTAGTTTCGACTGTAGAGAGCATTATTTCAATTTCACTACCATTGATAAGTGGAGTCACTATAATTATGAGGTTTTATCTGATATGTGCATTACTACATATTTAGTCTCTCTACAGTCAAGTAGAATTAGTTAATGTGTTGCTATGACAACATTTGGCATATATAATACCCAATGAATTATATTGCAGAATATATGCTGGCCTAGGGAGACTTGGAAATGTGATTTAACATTGTTCTGGGGGTACATGTGCATATAAAGCACTAGTCTTTGGGAAACAGACAATGAAATAATTAATTCTGGACATTTTGATGATTAGAAAAATATTTCTCAGAATCAAGTGTGTTTTTCCTTTGAATCTTCGCTTAGTGTTCTGAAGAAGCACCGACTTAGGGAGTGAAATTACAACACATTTCTGGGGGGGGGTGGGGCTGCATGAAAGTATTTTAACTTAGTGTGACTTGTACGATTTCTGTTTGCTGATTTGGCAGTGAAGTAGAATTTTGAATGAATGAAAAAAGAAATGAAAATACTGTATTTATTTGCTCTATCTTGTTATATTGTTTTGTTGATAGTTTTATCCTGTACTCTATGTATAAAGACTGTTATGAAATAAATGTAAGTTGTATTTAGTTGAACCAGTAAGTGTTAGATTCATGTGTAATTCGACAGATAAAAATGGATAACATGTACAAAATAGTGCATTGTTTACAAAAATAGAGAATGATCAGACTGTACTTGATGCTATTAATATTCTTGAGGATTTTTTGCAGTTGATTAATTATTGGCAACTAATTCATTATTGGCAGCAAAAACAAGACTATAAAGACTGCATTCCAGCCAATTGGTAAATTAGTCACAAGCAATCACATTCCTGTGCATATTTTCTAGGTAGATGTCTAACTTAGTCAAGAATGAATAGAGTATGAATCTTAAAAGGGCGGCGGTCACCGTGCCATGCATGTGCGAGATACGGAACTCGTATGAACAAAGATGGCAACTTTGACTGTTGTGCAGACCAACGAGTACAAACTGATACGTTACAAAGCTTTAACTATGTAATTTCTTTGATGATTGGAAAGTATCAAAGGAGTCACCTGTGGTAAATAGAGTACATTGCGCTTTGGTCAAAACATTAGAATAGCACGATGAATTGTGGGAAAATCAATGTTTATCAACACAAATTTTGCACATGTGCGGTGCGGTGCGACGACCACTGCCCTTTATGCAGAGCTTTTCAAGCCCTGAAGTTAACGCCACACTGACAACGCAAGACATAAATGGTAATTCAACATTAAATATATAGCTTGCTTGACTGGATAGGCATGGGGGTTGGATGGACATCCTTACAGAAATGTCTTCATGACTAGCACAATGATGCTTCCTGAATTTGAAAGAACTATAAACATACTCGTCCGATTGCCGTCCACCCCATACTTTTTGACTCCCGTGTGCGAAGCACAAAAGGGAGTCTTTGCAGTTACCCCGTCTGTATGTCTGTATGTCTGTATGTATGTCACTTTTTTTGTTCCACCGTTATCTCAAGAACCACTAATCAAATTTTCGTGAAACTTGGTACATAGATGCTCTGGGATGATGTGCAGAGTTGATTAGGTTTTGGTAAAAATCTATGAATATTAATTACCTAATTTGCATGATAATTAGCTGATTTTTAGCTGTTCCAAGACTGTTCCACTGATATCTAAAGAACCATTCATTGAATTTTGATGAAACTTGGCACATGGATGCTCTGAACTAGTGCGCAGATTTGATTAGTTTTGGGTAAAAATCTATGAATATTAATTACCTAATTTGAATGATAATTAACTGATTTCAAGCTGTTCCATGACTGTTCCACTGATATTTGAAGAACCACTCATTGGATTTTGATGAA